AATCAGAGAAAAAAATTTTTGAAACTGGTCCCAGGAAAAAAAAGGAGTTGTACAGCTTTTTTCTGCTTGAATGCATTTGTGCTAAGATTCAGGGACACGATTAATCCGGTCTTTCAGAGAATCCCACTTCAACCACGTGTAATGAATGTTTCTCACAATAATGTGGGAATTACACGGATGTGGGAATCCTGATGGACGAAAATTTTGCGAATTTATTTATCAATGATCTAAGCATTCGTCAGCTACGCGACGAAGTGTGACAAAAACACAGGAAGGCGGCATCTGTCCAATGAAATGGAAGAAAGGTTTATTGTAAAATAAATATTAATCATACTGATTTTTGCTGATTCAAGCTTTTCAGTTTTGGAAAATACCACGGAAAATCTAAAAAAAAAATAAGCAGACGTCACATCGAACCAGCATATTGCAGGAGACATCTGCCCTATAGTATTTTAAAACGCGTATTCATATTTAATTGTGCAATCTTCAGAAATTAAAAAAATCTCGATAGAGCCCTATTTAAAGGTCATCAACCATCAGTTGCTGGTGTTGAAAATGAAGCTTCTTTTATTAGGACTCTTGGAAGCACTGCGCCATTTAAGAAAGCCTCTTGAATTGCTGAGAAATCGGCCGAAAGTAAAAGATTGGTTCAGTCAGATTGAGATGATCGATTGCTGAAATAATAATATACTAAGTACCCGTTATATCTTCTGCTTCTTAACTTTCTCCGTCTGTTGAGAAGGTTGATTAAAATACCTAGCATTAGGATGCTCCAAAATGTTTTTTTTTAATGCCCACACGTTTCTACCATTCACTTCAGCTTCATCCCTGATTTATTGATTTTCAAATAAATCTTGATTATGCAAGTCAATAAAGTTACTAAAGCGGAAAAGTGGAAAACTATTCTCTCCTTGAACCAAACATAGACTCAAAAATTAAAAAGGCATTGCTCTAGACCAGTGGTGCCCAACTCAAAAGTGGCCAAGGGCCACATTAAAAATGAAGCCTTCCTTTGCGGGCCACAATGGTGGCAATAAATTAATCCTTCTATAATTTTCAAAATTTTAGCCTCATTTGATTTGAAAAAAGCCAATATGTCCCCTGATAAAGCAAATAATGCGGTTTCAAATGTCCTGTCATTGTTATTGCAACTTACTTTTAATATTCAGGTCATCAGTTTTTGCAAGACTCAAATGAAATATGCACATCAGTATATGGCTTTAAAAAATTGTCTTTCATTTCTCTTTGATCTTGTATCAGGAACTTAACACAACATATGATCACTGGAAATAATTCATTGCATCATACATATGGAGCAGTGCATTGCATTCCATCATCACTGAGGAGTTCAAAACCATTTCTCTTCCAGAATCGGTTCATCCGTTCTGAAACACATATGAGCTGCCATATTAAATAGGAAGACAAAAATTCAAGAATTGAGCNAAAAAAATTTTTGAAACTGGTCCCAGGAAAAAAAAGGAGTTGTACAGCTTTTTTCTGCTTGAATGCATTTGTGCTAAGATTCAGGGACACGATTAATCCGGTCTTTCAGAGAATCCCACTTCAACCACGTGTAATGAATGTTTCTCACAATAATGTGGGAATTACACGGATGTGGGAATCCTGATGGACGAAAATTTTGCGAATTTATTTATCAATGATCTAAGCATTCGTCAGCTACGCGACGAAGTGTGACAAAAACACAGGAAGGCGGCATCTGTCCAATGAAATGGAAGAAAGGTTTATTGTAAAATAAATATTAATCATATTGATTTTTGCTGATTCAAGCTTTTCAGTTTTGGAAAATACCACGGAAAATCTAAAAAAAAAATAAGCAGACGTCACATCGAACCAGCATATTGCAGGAGACATCTGCCCTATAGTATTTTAAAACGCGTATTCATATTTAATTGTGCAATCAAGTCTTTAATTTTTTTAGAGCTATCTCGGGATAAATTTCCAGTAGTTGGTAGTCAACGACCACAACTTTTACTTCGAAGAAAATAATCCTGAGAACCTTCGTGACGCGGTAAATTCTTTCGGAGAAGAATTGCTGAGAAATCGGCCGAAAGTAAAAGATTGGTTCAGTCAGATTGAGATGATCGATTGCTGAAATAATAATATACTAAGTACCCGTTATATCTTCTGCTTCTTAACTTTCTCCGTCTGTTGAGAAGGTTGATTAAAATACCTAGCATTAGGATGCTCCAAAAGGTTTTTTTTTAATGCCCACACGTTTCTACCATTCACTTCAGCTTCATCCCTGATTTATTGATTTTCAAATAAATCTTGATTATGCAAGTCAATAAAGTTACTAAAGCGGAAAAGTGGAAAACTATTCTCTCCTTGAACCAAACATAGACTCAAAAATTAAAAAGGCATTGCTCTAGACTCTTAAAAAATTCTTCGCGTGTTTATCACTGGAAATTGCGTGTATACTGTCATTTTAATTTCGAAGAAAGTTTCCCCTGTCCAGAAGTACATTTTTTATCTTTCAAAATGGCGACACGAAGGTTTTGGAGATAATTCTTTTTTATGTTATGAAGTTCATGTTGCTCAAGAAATAAGACTTCTTCGTGTTTCGGTTATTGTTACAGTTGTGTCATCGCAATCATTATTTTTCTCACGGAGTCCCTGGGTTAAACGTCGAACCTACTTTCAACATAGTTCACCGATCCCATTCTATCTATCTATCGCAGGAGGAAAAAAAAGAAGATAGATTAATAAGATGACATTCCAATATGTTGATGCAGAACAAGGATTTAGAACAAAATTTCTAAAGTGGCATGGATGCACGTCGCTCTATTCAACCCTTAGGTGAAGACATGCATTTTGAACTCATCGAACAATTCTGGAAATATTCGAAGGATAAAGCAATATATTCCACGCAGTGCTAAATTCTTTCATTCCAAATGTACTTTAACCTTTCCCAGGCACCAAACTTCGTGGCACCGGTTAGAACTAATGTAACTTGCTTCATACATCGTGTTCGAAACAGAGCGCTTCGTAAAATTGAACTCAGATCACGTATCTTTTCACGATTCTTGGAGTTCAAAAATATCTTCGAATGAAAAAAGCTCAAGATGCGGCCCAAATTAGCAGAACTCTACTTATTCGAGATCTGTGACGGTGCATATGATTAGCCCTTCATCCCGAATTTCGATCATTTGCAAGAGTATAAAGAATGAAATTATGTTTTGTTTTTAAATCCCTTTGTTCGCTCTGGGTAAAATAATTATGCGAGCGGATGAAAGTAGAAATTTGCGGGAATTTCGTCCTCAGAATGTGTCATGCAATTTTTTTTTAGAATCATCTGCCTTTCGGATGCTTTTAATACATCCGATTTTATATGTGATACAGACATACAGTCAAACCTCAAGGGACCAGCAAATACAGTAATTCGAGTCAGGGAAACATGCATTTTTGTCGGGGAAAAGAAAGAAGAATTACTGGAAATTGTAATTGATGTTCTGGGCCTTAAATTGCACCTAGAATCAGTTGCTAGGAGACTGAAATTGGAGGCAATAATGGTTCATTTGCCCAATTAGTCTTTCACTTCCTTTCAAAACACATCAAGTTAAATTTTTGTTTCGTTTCTCTTTCCTGTGTCAATAAAATAATAGCCCAAAGACCTCCAGAAAATTTGAGTCACGGAGGTTTGAGGAGGAAAGCCTTCCTGAGGGAATTTAGATAGGTACTTGAATTCGACTGAGGGAGGTTTGACTTATCAAGGTTCAACTGCACAAGCGGATATCTGGAGACATTTAATAAGGTAATCACATCTTTAAAAAATTTAATTGCATTTGCTGGCCTGATGGCAGAATTTGTCATCCGTGCAGGGTTCCAGCTGACAGGACAAACGAAATGCCTTCACGGCAACCGTCTCCCCATCGTCTTGTGTGTGTACTGCACGCGTACAGGTGTACTTTACTTTTCAAAATCAAAGCGCCATTGTGTGTGTTTTCCTCGGCGAGTATCTCGTCAGAAAGGAAGTCGCAGTTGCAGTGGGAAAACAAGTCCACCGTCGATTGCCCGGTTCGAAATGGGCCAGTGATTTCGCGCGGAAAACGCGATGCGTTTGATCGGCCCCGGACACTACTTGCCGTGATCTCAATCACTTGGCGATTTCCTGTGCAGTAACTGCGGATAATCCGCCTGTTTACTCTGCGGTGTGCTTTCCCAACGCGGCCCATTTCCTCTCTCACGTTCGACATGCCTCCGAACCGTGTCAGCATCCAGTCGTCGTCGGCTGCTGGGACTGGCTTCGTAATCATCGCTTTATTTCGCCCCACGGAATTCAGTTGGATTGATTCTGGGTGTTATGTGGCCCGAGGTGAGTATGTGTGTGTGTGTGTGTTTTTTTCGGGCTTCCCGAGGAATGTAGCGGAAATGCGGCCTCCGAGAGCCGACTTTCTTCACTGACGTAATAGTCGATAAATGCCGCAATTATTCGACCGGATATGACCAATAATTCCCGATTTTGATTCACAAAACATGGCGAATTCGATTCGGGTCAAAGTCACCTGATATTTACCAGCAAAACGATAATTCCTAAATAAAAAGGAAGGTCGAACAATGATTAACATGCAGTATCATTCTTTATTGCGGTCAGCAAAAGTAAGGATAAGATGGTTCACGATATGCTGAATGCAGGAAACATTTCAAAGTTCAAAGATCCGAAAGCATCCCATACGTTTTTCTCTGAGCACATCCTTCACAAAATTATTTTGCAGTCCTGATATTACTCGCTAAGTTGAGGTCATTTGAAATTAAGCTGCATCATTGTTTAAACTTAAAGCATGCACATTAAACATATTTATCAATGAAAGTATGTGCTATTTTTTATCTGCCTTCTAGTTGATGATATAATTCTTTTAGCGTACTGTGCAGCTACAATTATCTTAGATTCGCTTCTGATTATGTTAATTCATTAATTATTTGTTCGGGTAGAAAACTTTGGGTCTGTCTCATAATCGAGGACCAGAAGTCGCATTACATCCTCANGTTCGAAATGGGCCAGTGATTTCGCGCGGAAAACGCGATGCGTTTGATCGGCCCCGGACACTACTTGCCGTGATCTCAATCACTTGGCGATTTCCTGTGCAGTAACTGCGGATAATCCGCCTGTTTACTCTGCGGTGTGCTTTCCCAACGCGGCCCATTTCCTCTCTCACGTTCGACATGCCTCCGAACCGTGTCAGCATCCAGTCGTCGTCGGCTGCTGGGACTGGCTTCGTAATCATCGCTTTATTTCGCCCCACGGAATTCAGTTGGATTGATTCTGGGTGTTATGTGGCCCGAGGTGAGTATGTGTGTGTGTGTGTGTGTTTTTTTCGGGCTTCCCGAGGAATGTAGCGGAAATGCGGCCTCCGAGAGCCGACTTTCTTCACTGACGTAACAGTCGATAAATGCCGCAATTATTCGACCGGATATGACCAATAATTCCCGATTTTGATTCACAAAACATGGCGAATTCGAATCGGGTCAAAGTCACCTGATATTTACCAGCAAAACGATAATTCCTAAATAAAAAGCAAGGTCGAACAATGATTAACATGCAGTATCATTCTTTATTGCGGTCAGCAAAAGTAAGGATAAGATGGGGCACGATATGAATGGAGGAAACATTTCAAAGTTCAAAGATCCGAAAGCATCCCATACATTTTTCTCTGAGCACATCCTTCACAAAATTATTTTGCAGTCCTGATATTACTCGCTAAGTTGAGGTCATTTGAAATTAAGCTGCATCGTTGTTTAAACTTAAAGCATGCACATTAAAAATATTTATCAATGAAAGTATGTGCTATTTTTTATCTGCCTTCTAGTTGATGATATAATTCTTTGAGCGTACTGTGCAGCTACAATTATCTTAGATTCGCTTCTGATTATGTTAATTCATTAATTATTTGTTCGGGTAGAAAACTTTGGGTCTGTCTCATAATCGAGGACCAGAAGTCGCATTACATCCTCATGAACGCAGTATTACCTTTATTTACTGCTGACTTCGTTAAATGGCCTAATGGCCCTCGAAAAGCATGATATGATTCTTCCTTGAGTATTCATTTTCCCCAGCGCTCTGTCCGGAAAATTAAATTAATTTCCAAAGTAATCGCCAGAAAACGGATTCTGAACCACGATTAATGGAAGAATCTATTTAATCGATGGAAGAGTTCTTTTTCAAAATATTGCTTAATGTCCAGTGATTCCAGTCCAAGCTTTGAATTGAACTGTACTTGCGATGAAGCCATCTGGAGAGAGAGCGAGAGCAGAAATCAATGACCACAATCCTCATATATGTCCCTCATATTTAACTATCGAGAACAATAACCCATCCGACAGGGGTTACTCAACTCACGAAAATATTTTTAAACAGGCCTCAGAACCTTCAAGTCCAGGAGTCACAGCTTGATGCAGCATAATCTCACACATGGTAGTCACGAGTTTTCACGCCGGATACAGGGAACCACAAGCCGCTGAACACGAATGTCATCCCTGGAGACAACTCAGTTAGCATGGAACATACGTTAAGGTCTACTGGGGTGTCTAAAATGATCGCTCTACTGTCCAGATTCTTTTTCTTTTTTTGCATTGTTTTTCTCGCAAGATTTTTGGCATTTGAAATTCCAGGAGTTGCCCGATGAAGCAATTTTTTCCATGCTGGTAGTGACAGCTTGCCCATTCACTGAATAACACTTGCAGCGAAGTTCACTTTTGAAACTAGAGGTCGCTCGTACAAATTTCTAAAAATTGGATTTTCACGCCTCGCATTGTTTCGTCTAGAACGCTTGCTTGGCAGGATTTGAATGCTTTGTCCGTATTCAATGGAAGCTGGGATTACGGTGTTCCACAGTATTTTTTTTTTTCCCAGTCCACGATATCTTATGCATGCGTTACACGTCCAGGTGGTCAGTCAGTGGATTCTTTCGCCGATGGGCAAAACCTACCGCTGAGATAGTGGCAGGCACGCGTGTGCGACCTGCGAGGTCAAACTGCTCGAAGTTTCGCGCATCACCTCATTGGCTAGTGATCATAAGATATCGCGGGGGAAAATTAGTTCATTTCCGTGGGAGTGCATCACGACCAGTGCTTGTTTTCCGCACTCAATCACGATATGCAACATTGCCAGGCATAGCGCCATATGCTGCAACAGCAGGTTTCTCTCCACCTCCTCACACCACACATGATGGAAAAGTTCTTGGATGCTGTCATATGGAGAATAGACCTTGTGACTCCTGAGGAAGAGGTCGTGGGGTGAAACAAGCGACTTTCTGATCTGTTTTCACCTTCGAATCGAGCTGAACTCGGGGCTTTCATCCGCGATATTTTCTTTGGAATGTGCTATTAAAACTTCCTGGAACCATTAGCGTAGTCTCATTTCCAAATCCTGTTAGAAGTACTGCACTTGCCTTCATGTCAAATCATTTGAGAAAACCTCGGGCGCATTTCTCTGACGCGTTATCGTAGATCGTCATTTTCCGTGGTCAGTTAAAAATATCTAAGGTCGAAGTCAGTTTTCCGTAACCTTTTCGGGGCGCCACGGATATTTTGCGAACCCACAAAACGTTCTTAGAAACCTGAATGCTTATTTGAATCACAGGTCATGACCCGAGGCTGCGCACATGTTTCCGGAAACCATCAGAAGTATCTCGAGTCTTTCACATCTCCAATGAGGAACGGTACTGCACATTAAAAATCCTATTACCTGGAATAGGCGAATTCGTTCGAAAAATTGCGGATGGTATTCCGCAAAAATCATTGGATCATAATTTGACTAAATATCACTTATAATCACGAGAATTTCAGACTGAACAATCATATACAATATAAATATTCTTGATAATCTTTTTGTCAAAAGCAAATAAAGCGACTCAAATTTAAGTTTACAAGTCCGTTTTTTTCCTTTTCAATTCATAACTTTTGTACACAGATGATTAATTTTAAATCGAAAACGTAGCATTGAAAACTTTTTTCCCTTTTAATCTTGACAAATTTTTGCATGGGTTTCACTCAAAATTATTAAGATACATGTCATCAGGGAGGACGACATTTCTTGCAAGTTAAGCAGTACAACACAAAAATGTCAATTTTTTAGAAAAAAAATTTAAATAATGTTCTCAACTTCAAAAAATAAAAAATAAACAGAGGAAAACCACACAGAATTCTATCTTCTTGCATCAGAAGGAACTGAAGAAGCAACGAACAGGAAAAAGTTTTGCTCTACTGTGCACACATGATGAGGAAAAAACTCTGAAATAATTATAGTAGAATAAAGAATTAATCTAAAAAACCATGTTTTTCAACTAAGACTAAAAAGCATAAAAAAATTTAGTAGATTAAAATATTAATCTAAAAAACCACGTTTTCAAAAAGCAAAAAATAGCCTTAAAGGTGGTGCGCATGGAGATTGTTGGGAAGAAGTGAATTACAAATGAAATAGATGCACACCCCGTTTAAGGTTATTTTTTTCTTTTTGAAAACGTGGTTTTTTAGATTTAACATTACACGGAGGTCCAATAGGACATGCCTCCGTCCTGGTGAGTTGAAGAGGTCCGAGAAGCTTCTGCTCCTTCACTTCATCTCTGATCACCCGATGGACTTCGCGAGCAGCAGGTTTCTCTTTTCTATCCTCCTGACGAGTGGACTCCCGAGAATCAGACGAAACGCTGTCCGTTACAGGGATTCGTTTCACCTGCGAAACAATAAAATTTATCTTCATGTATAAAAAAAAGAAGTTGCTGTATGTACATAATTTTGGCGCTGAGCTAGCAGGAAACAATCCGGTACAGTAAACGGGAAGAGATTCGACTTTATAACTAGGAAGTAGCGAATATACCGGTATATGATAAGTCAAGATACCTTGGCATAATTTCGATAGTCATAAAAACTCCAGGACGAAAAGGCAGAAATCGAGAAATCTCCAACATGGTCCAGGTAAGCACATCTGATTTTCCAAGTATTAATGAGTCTTAGAACTTGCGAATTCTAAATAGAATCAAAATTTTATCATTCTCCTTCTCTGCACTAGATTGAGTAACATAGACACGGAATTTTCCTTCGCGTGATGAATAGCCTTTGAGTCTCCTCGACACAAAACCCGTCTGATTTGGAGGAAAGAGAACAAAACCAAAACGAAGCGTAGAAGCGAACAGGGTTTCTCTTCTCTGCTTCAGCAATAAAATAATCTGCTACCGCATCCAATCACATAGCGCTGCATTTCCTCCCCAGACAAGGTTCGAACAGTTCTTCCGTTTCCACGACTTCAAAAAATACTCCACCCGCGGAAAAAACTTACCTTGGAGCGTGTCGAAATGGACTTGTTCGCTGGCTTCACCACATCGACATCATCCAGGCGCTCTGCAAGAGACTCGGATATCGTGGTGCTTTCCTGGGCATCTGCGTCACAGGTTTTTTTCAACTTTGCCAGCTCTTCAGTTGCTTGCTCGTTAGATGGTTCCAGCTCTAGAGCTTTCGAAAAATCCTGAATAGCCAACTTGATCAAGTTTCTAGCTGCTCGGGCGGAACCGCGTCTCAAGTAGGCCTTGACATATTCAGGATCCAACCGTAACGCAAGATCGCAGTCTTTCTCTGCTTCAGCAAACCTGAAAATCAGTTGTTTCTTCGATCAGCGTGATAGAATACGCCATCCAAGGCTTTCTCCAGATGGAAGAAAAAAATTTTTAACCTTTGAAGAAAATGATTAGTTATACAGAGAACAAAGATTGTAAAAAAATTTCGCAATAACATATTTTGAGACAAGAAAAATCCCTTCAACAGGAAATTCTGCGAAAAACTCTGAAAATGTAATCAAAGGATTGCATGACGCGGCGACGCATTTCAAATTTTTCAAGAAATAAGATTTTACTTCTCAAGTTTCAAGTACGCCATGGCACGATTAGCGGGCAACAGGGCATTGTGCTGGTCCAGTTCAATCCCCTTTGAATAGGCCTCGACAGCTTCTTGGAATTTTCGTGCTTTGAACAGCATGTTTCCCTAAAAAAAAATTGTCTTCATTAACGGAAAAACAGCGCAATGACAGCAGATGTGGGAGAAGAAAACTAAGACTTCAAGCATAAAGATTCTGCTGGTGCAGCTCTGATACATCTACCATTTACAAGACGATTATTCAATTTCTGCTTCCACCTCAGATCATGTTCGGCATTTACCATCATGCAAGCAAAATGTACGCTGGACTTGTTAAGGCGAATTGTCGTCAAAGACATCACGAATCTCACCTTTTGAGTTTATATTAACTTCTTTTTTTTTCACAAGCATTAGAAGAAGAAATAAGGCATTGATTCGCCAATGTTCACATACTTTCTCCTTCCAGTTATTCGCATTGTGTTTCAGCTGGACATCGGCGATCTTCTTCGCATCCACGGGATTCTTCTCCTTCACAACTTCAGCGACTGCTGGTGCAGTTTTCTGCGAGAATACGAATAGGTAAAATTGTCCAGGACTAACAAAATTAGTGAAAAATCACTTACAGAACTAACTCGGGGACTTTGATTCGATCTCAACATTGCGTCCCTTTCTTTCATCCGTTTCTCCCACGATTTGAAATCACGCGCAAGATCTTCCACTTCTTCAGCATGACGCCGAGCGCTCACCTGTGCACGCATGGCGGCCTCTGCCATTTTCAAAAACTTTTCCTGCGAAAATGCGTTCGAACTACGACTCCCACGTGCATTAATTCAGCTTGGATCCCAAGCAATGAACATTCTCCTATGGAATAATACCATTGTAACACCGAGAGATGCATTTCTGATCTCGAAAGTTCTTCACCTTCGGAGTGACAATGGTGGAAAATATATGCTCAGAATGCGGCCACGCAAATTTTGAAAAATATTCGACAAAATTAAAAAGTGCACCATCAACAGCACAGCAAAATCGCTATTTTCAAGAAAACCGAAGAAAGATTAGGTAATAACTTATCCCAAGAACGATTGATCACGCTCGACCGAACTCAACAGCGAAGAAACCCAGCAAGACCGAAGAATTCGATCCCAAAGAAGCAGCGATTTCCCCTATCTGATAACCACAGTTTTTGCTTTTAACGCGAAACGCCTTGAAAATCCACGAATTCACTGCCCGATCAACAACGGGTTCCGCACTTATGTCACCATCGCTCTTGTTATTTGGGGTGTCTATGTCTACTCGTCCTTCGGACGAGAGGAATACTTTGACTCCATTTTTGGAAGCATCCAGTGGGCAACGTAGTTTCAGCACCATGCCAAAAGACTGGTCAATAGGATCGGAAGAAGAAGAACTTGATATCGGGGAGATCAGGTTATCCGGAGCCAGTTTGTAAGCGTAACGGATGACGACTGGCAGAGAGAGGTCGAAGTCGCACACAAAAATTCTGCAACATTCAAGGATTCCACAAGTGCCAACACCAATTACGTCAACGTACTTTCCTAAGCCCTCATGCGAATACAGTACTGTATCACCACATGAACTCCAAAAAATTCCTGAAGGCAACATTATTCGATTCATTTCTAAAGTCAAGAATCGTCGAATTATTGCTCTGGTCAACTCTCGTGATTCAATCAACTTATTTTACAAGCACTGCGCACCTGAAATTCTAACTGAAAATGTCAGGAGTAGTCAGGTGGGAACAACATTTTTGGGTGAACAAGGTTGCATCGTTTGTAAGTTCCTCGGGGTTAAGCAACAAGATACACAGCAGTGTTCCCCAAACCGTGGTCTGCAAAAATTTTCTCCAGCCTAATAAATTTATCAGAATATAGCGATGAAAGACGTTACAGCATCTTTATCTGAAATTTAGGCATGACAATGGCATTGAAAATTGTCTCATGAAAAATAAGTGCTGATTTTTCTCCCAACAAATTTTCCCTTGATGAAATAAAATTATTTTAATTTCTTGTTCCGAGAAACCTTTCTTCAAGCACACTTTCATTTATTTTTTGAAGATATGCCACTATAGCTGCTTCATTGGTTAATTTGATTTTTGTAAAAAAAAAAAAACAGAAAAATTTCAAACATTGTACCTGCTGCGAAGTCTATGAAGCAAGAAGTTACCTAGCCTGCAAAAATTTCATGAAACTTCGCAGATCCGTGGATTTTTCTTCCTGGAAATTTGCTGTTCCGCAAGAGAAATGTTATGGAAATGTGTTGGCCCGTGGGCCCAAAAATGTTGGGGAACACTGCTTTACAGGATTGTAACAATTTCTCGCAGTACTTCATGATCGCTTAAATATAACGCGATTGGAACTTCAGCTGATTCTACTTTTCGATAAAACTTTTCCACTGTCCATTTATTTTACTACACTTTCAACATTAGACTTCGAGGAATGATAACTGGTTCTAAGAAAAGCTGTTTTTTTCCTGATCAGGGCAAGATTAGCATCAACTATGTTTTCCAGCTCCACAAAACAAGCTTTTTTCAAGGGATGCAAGTTCGGGTTCCAGAGAAAAAAAAACCGCAGACTTGATACCAGGAAACCTCACAGAACCTAGATGATTACTGAATGTAAAAAAGTATTACCTGATGAAATCGGGGTTAAAGCCATCAACATTATTGAGTTTCAAGCAGGAGCCGCCTTGGTAAGCGTCGTCGTCATATGACTGTAAAGCTTCCAGTCGCTGAACCTGAGCTTTCACATCGCCCCAATTAGGATAGGTCGCTTGGGCATAGGGAACGATTTGCATCATCGTTTCGTCAGCAATCTTCGCGGACTCCGGACTAACCCACAATGGCTGATACTGCTGTAGACTCAAATTCCACCAAGGGCCCCCGGAGGCAACGCCGTTTTTGTACATTTTCTTCCCCACACCTCGGCAGAATGATGTGCGGAATGGTAACTTTTTTGGTCCCTGCAAATATCACGAATTATCTCCCAAGTAGCAGATAAGCGCTGAAACAATAAATAAGAATGAGATCTCTTCCGAGAAAAACCGTATAGGGGTAGGGCTATTTTCATGCTTCGAGAAAATGTGTACCTCCTTCAGAATCAGAAGTGTAAATACCCTCACTAAAATAAATTGCAATGAGTTCTCAGTTCGCGAACTATTGTATTCCTAATGCCCACAATTTTCACATACGAAATTTTCCAAGGGGGATCAAGTGGTGTTCATGTGAAATGTTCCACGTCCCTATTTATTCCATTTCACATGTTCACGGGTCAGGTGACAAAGTTGCTTCATGGAAAATAAAAAGGGAATTTTCGGCTATAACTAGAGTTTCTCTCGTTGAATCTCTTTCAGGTTT